ATTATCATTCTGTGCTGTTTGAAAATTATGTAATCATTTACTCGTCAATTTTAAACTTACTGGTATTTTCACATGGTAAAAAAATGCATACAATTTGGTTCAGTTGAGAAATATGTAGTCGTCAGCGAGCGTTGTTGTTAAGGGAATTTCTCCAAGCTGTTTGTTTAACTCTACTCATTTATACTTACTCTTTCTACATGAACGCCATCTACTCTTTTGAAAAGATAACGTTGCACTTTAGCTAGAAGCTTACAAGTAAACTTTCTATACTTTTCAGTAGCTTAGAATCAGTAATTGGAAAGCACTTTTCCATACCAATGCTCAGTTGTCGTGTTTTTTGGGCCCATTCATCAGGTGCGTTGGGCGTAATCGGTCGCGCTATAGGTTACCAACCAAAAACACAAATCTCCTTCTATGTCGCGTCATTCAAATAAAGCGCAGAAACGACCGAACTGGACTCGCAATTTGGCTTCCGAGTCCTAAGCAACCGTTGCTAGTACGAATTCACCAGACTTTTTGAAGCATGCACCTATCAAGTATCTTTTTCTTAAAATAACTTCATCAGTAAAACCTTACTGTTTATTCATTGAAGTTTTTCTGTGATATTTAAATTAATTTTTTGTAGTTTATCCCCTCAATGGAAAGAGTAGTAAGTAGCTCTCAAATCTAGTGTTCTCTTAATCTGCACGTCGTTCCCTTTTTATACTAAACTACCGAGTAGAGCTTACTTTATAGTTGCACTTTTAAAAAAACGGTTTAGTAGAGTCCTTGTTGCTAAGCGCTGACTTCCGTAATATTTCCAGAACTTGAAAAAGTTTTCTTGGCCTGTAATGTATTTGCTTTTTTAAAAAACCGACTGTTTAACTTGAAATTCGAATAATTTCTAGTTGAAGAACCTCTGTTATCTTACCTACAATTCATAAAAGGCTGAGGCTAAACTACAGAACATAAAATAAGTTCATTTTTTCACTTACTTTGCTCTAAATCCGTTAGTCCCAAACAAAATCCAGTCTTTCTCTTCGGAACTTTTGAGATTCTTGCTTGCGTGGGGTTCTCCTTAATTTCTAGATTTAATTTATGAATTATTTTTCAATTAAT